TTCGCTTTGATTTTAGTTTAATACCCGCTTACATGAATGTAGATGTTCCTTTGATTTGATTGTGAAAAAACCTAGTGAATCTGTTATGTTTAAAGACATAATTGTAAATTATATTGAATAAAGAGAGAAATTGAGCTAGATTGTCTTGTTTATTGTTCCTGTTTTTTAGAAACAATAAACCACTGTGTAACGTAGGTGTCATGATAAAATCATGTCACTAGTTTCGCGATCAAATAAAACCTTTAAAAATTAAATCAAGTTTTAGGCCTGATTAACATGCATTTATGAACTAGTAATTTTTTATCAGGTACTTGAAAGTCTATTTCTAAGATCACAGTTGAGTGAGATGCACTAAGGGCTTGATTTTCTATTTTATGCGACAGTTATAATGAGTAACATGTAATTCAAAGCTTTTTATCACTTATTGAGGTGTTATTGAAATCCTACATACAGCATTGAATGATCATGCGTAATGTGTATATCATGTATAAAGTAGTTTGAATTTAAGTGGCTTTTCGAAATTTGTGTAGTAAAGTAAGAAAAGTAATAACTACAGCAATTGTATGCTTGGTCAAAGTCATACTCCCTAAGAATCAATATTCTGCCTTTGTGATTTTTGAATCATCAACCAAAATGCCTTAAACTATCAACGGTAGATTCGTCATCGATTGTTGGTTATGTAGGACTAAACACATGAGCATTTAGAACGAAACCAGTGATGGATTGAAAAATTTTATTCATAAAACTGGAATGGGACCAGTTTACAAACGGTATTCTTTATTTTCTTACTTTACTTACAACCTAAAGATTCTTTTACATTAATCTATCACAACTAAGGCAATCAAACAAAGCAAAATTCACAACAATCTCTGGTTGAAATGTGGTTAAAAGACTTACAGAGCATAAGTCTGAAGCAGCTAGTGCTAAAAACCACCTCCATTCACAAGTATCCACAAAATTACCTATGCGACAAATTTCTTGAAATCGTTCCACCGGTAACGATAAATCCTTCCATTTTTCTTCAATGACAGATAATGGTAAAACTTTCATTGATGCAAGCTATAAAATGACAAGATCATATTGTACACAATGTTGCTGAATCACCTAAATTTAATTACATCATGTATTAGCAAATTCATTCTGGTTTCAGAAAAATTAGAAAATCCAAATCAGTACAATTAAGTACTATTTTAATTATGTGTATTACACTACTGCATACACTGCTGTTTACTACTAAATAAACAAGAGTAATAAGTAATTAGATAAAATCATGTAACTAGAGTGGTTTTTACTTTGAAAACATATTCAATAAACTTGAGACACCTAATCTAGTGAAATACAAAGAAATTTTGTTTTAAGCAAAATCCGTATATATGACGTTCGGAAATTCTAAAAATTTTCATAGTAACTGATAAAAGTTGACTTGGATGTCTTCACATAGCGTAGCTTATCCTTTTTATGAAAATCTTTGGACCACCACCTACTGCTTAAGATATTCACGGTAGCCTTCCTTATGTTTCATTTCGTTTGGAAGCAGCTAAGTGAGTTGACTTACTTACTATTTTTCATACTTATTTTTATAACTAATCTCAGTTCACAACGCACAATACCTCATATCACCCACCAAAATTTAATACGAATTAAGAAGATAAATTGCAAGACAGATATTTTTATGTTTCAGAAATAGGTTATAAAATCAGCTTGTAAGCTAATATTGTATTCTAAAGTTAAAGTAGGGCGGCCTTGTCACGGCTTAATAAATATTACGTAACCAAGATCACCTCTAAAAAGTGGCCCAGCAAAGAAACTTATGACGAACTACCGGTGAAAGAGCGAACACTCATGTGCCAGTACAGTTTTTCTCGATAAGACTAAGTCAGATGTACTCAACTTCGAACCAAGATAACAAGGCAAAATTACTAAGGTTCATACAAATACAGTACAAGTATCGATCTTACTGAAAAATGTTAGCCATAAAATACAGAATAATAAAGGAATATATGAGTGTATAATAAAAAAGTAAGAGAACAATTGTAAAACTGAAAATTAGATAGAAGACTAGGGGCTCAATAATTTCCACTTTTCGAGATCGAGTCTGAACTACAAATCAGTGGATTATAAAGACGAGAATTCGTTATCCCATGATACGCACCAACATCAAATGTCCTTTTCACGAGCTAGCATACGCCAATTGATTTTTTTGCGCTCCATTCTAGTTCTTTCGGAACGGTTCCAGGTGTTTGGTGGAGTTCAATGGATGAGGGTCTATTCAATCGACTGTCTTAATCTAGTCAGTTAGTATTTATGTTCACTTCTACCTTTTAATTACACTGTAAATCCACTTTACAAAAATATAGCCAGCCTCTTTACTTTCGCAAAAACAACTTACTAACACTTAGAACAATTTACAAACAAAATGGTCTCAAAAATGCATTTTAAAAATGGTTCAGTGTTAATAAGTTTATCTTGCAAACATTTATGCATGACAGACTGAATACGCCAATTATTATGACTTTTTGTGACAAACTTTGGTAATTTTTAACCGGTTAGGAAAGATAAACTAAGTTCAAATTTGATAAAAGTGGTAATAACATATTGTTGAGCATTATATAGGCCGAAAAATAGTAGATCATTGCAAACTAGCACCTACCTGGTTATTTAAAATTCTTAGAAGTCCAGGCGTTAAACCTGTATCTGTCTTTTGTGTACTTATTGGAAGCTCAAGTCTCATTTTGACTGGTGGTACTTCATTCTGTGCAATTGCTTTAAAATATCTGCAGAAATGTAAAGTCCAATTTGAAAATACTTACGCATGTGACCATTTGAGAACGTCTTTAGGTTGCGTTCTAATAGCTGCTTTGGTAAATTGCTTTAAAATGTCTGGGAGAGCGGGTGGTATCTGAACCTGCTCGTGACAATAATAAGGATCATTAGAAAGAGACATTAATTTTGATAATTTTATAAACTGAGAGGTTATAGTAACCTGTATTTAGATGAGTTAAAACACATTGCAATCTCTAATGTCCAATATCTTTCTCACGAGCTAGTATAAACCAAATTATTTCTTTGTACTCGATTCTTGTTCTGTCGGAACGGTTCCAGCTGTTTGGTGGTGTCCAATAACCAGTCGACTGTCCAATTCTAGTCAGTTGGCCATTGGTTGTGAGTTTGTCCGTCCCATGATTTGAATGAAAACGTTTGTTTCAGGGAGATCAGTTAGTTGCAGTATGGAGAATAGTAAGGATAAAAATCTAGTACTTATAAGAGTAAGGATTTCAGGACGAAGGAAATGATACATAATAGGGTTGATTAATTGGCAGTGAAGATTCTACGAGAGGACTGAACTGCAAGCAAGGAACGAGAAAAGAGTTATTAAGCGAGATGGATTAAGTCAGTGATCTGAGGAGATGGAAATTATAATAGCTAGCAAGTTTCGAGACATGGATCAAGCACAGCTGGTCCAAGGAGGAGAAGATGATCTATATGTGAGTACGTGTTTATCAAGTCTCTTCTTGATCTGTCCACTGATGGATCTATGGTAACGTCGGATGAGAAAGCATTCGAAAAAGCAATGACCATTAATGACAAGAAACATGAAGAAAGCTGAATGATGGCTCTTTGATGCGCCATTTTTCCAGGATTAACATGAGGAACGTGGTAGTGATGCGTCAGTAAGATGCTCACGATGGGATAAGTTGGCGTGCTTAATATATTCCTCGTGTGGATGAGCGTGTCTTAGACAACGATAAGAGTAATTCATTTATGATAGCACCAGTTTGTCTTCGCAATAGGTGAAGAGTTACGTTTGCCTTGGATGCATCCCCCTATACAGTTCAATCTGGTGTCCAGGCTTTGAGTAGTTATTAAACCGTAATCGCGCTCTGAGGAGACAACAGAAAGCGGACTCCCATTGGTGATGTAAGTCGTTTGTGCGACGTCGGGCAGACTGTTCATAACGCGACATTTCGACTGGTTTTGTCTTACACCGTTTTTGATTGTCCATTCCTAAATATATATATATATATATATATATATATATATATATATATATATGCTGAAGTTCACTGAGCTTTGTCTAAAATATCATTCATGAATATGAAGAAGAGGAGTGAACCTATGAAGACTCCCTGTGCATATATTGATGCCCGCAAACTAGCGTAAACTCTATTTAACTTGATGCGAGACTTCTTATTTCCAAGGCAGTTTCTGAGCCAAGATGGTAGTGTGCACGTGAAGCCCATTTCCTTAACCTTGGAAATTAGCGGTGTATGGGGTACTGTGAAGAAGGCTTTTGCGAAGTCAATAAATATAATACGAACGGATATTTTTCTGTCCCAGCAGGTTGTACCACTGGCTCATTCTACGAGAAGATTAGATACGCAAGATCTGCTTTTCCGAAACACGTGTTGAGCGTCATGGAGGACTTTGTTCAATCCGAATCAATACTTAATTGTAGGTCATCAATCACATATTAAAAGCCTAATAAATGCTCACCCGTTGTATAAGATTGTGATGAATAAATTATAATGGTTTAATTTGTTACTAAACTACTTGAATATCACAGTTTTATACACTCCTAAGATGATGTGTATGGTCTTTTTTAGCTAAACAGTAGAGCGCACAAACGCAACTATTTTGGGAGATGATGATGACAGTCCATTTTTGCTTATAGACACCCGTATCTTAAGATGTTTTTAGTCCCGTCATTTTTAATAGTCATCTGTTTTCGGATTTCATATTAGCTCATTGGGAAAGTACATTTACAATCTTTAGGCACTTACTAGCATAGTATGTACTCGGTCCCTGTCAACCGAGTGCAGTATATGAATATTCGAATCAGTGTAATTGCAAAAGACTATCGATTGTAAATTAGAAAGAACACATCATTAGTAGTTGAAGCAATTCTCTTCCCAACTACATTCAAGATACGATTTCGTAACACATGCACTCTTTTCTATTCCGGATATCACTTGTGATCAGTTAATCTTAACTTAATTCTTTACAATGTAACGTTAATACTGGTCTACAGATAGTCAACATCAGCTGCAGCATTACAACGGATTTTCTTTAAATCATGGAAAACTTTATTTCATGGTCTTTTAGTGTGGTGACTTAATATAAAAATAAAATGTCCGCCGAATATATAGGAAGGATTCGAGTACAGTTAAATTATAAAACACGAGCATCTACGAGTATCTTCATTGCTGTACTCCTTCATTTGTGGGTTATATTCCTATAATTTACTTTCATTTCAGTTTTGATAGCACAGTTACTTACTTACTTACGCCTGTTATTCCCAATGGAGCATAGGCCGCCCACAAGTTCCCTCCAACCAACTGTCATGGGCTTCCATCTCCAGTTCTGTCCAATTTTTGTTCATTCCTCTCATATCTTTCTCTATTTCTCGGCGTAATGTGTTCCTTGGCCTTCCTCTTTTCCTTCTGCCTTCAGGGTTCCATGTGAGGGATTGTCTCGTGATGCAGTTAGATGCTTTTCGTAGTGTGTGTCCTATCCACTCCCACCGCTTCTTCCTGATTTCCTCATCCACTGGAATCTGGTTTGTTCTCTCCAACAATACGTTGTTGCCGATGGTGTCTGATCAACGAATCCGAAGTATTTTGCGTAGACAACTGTTAATAAGCACTTGTATCTTGTGGATGATGGCTTTGGTAGTTCTCCAAGTTTCCGCTCCATACAGCAGAACTGTCTTGACATTTGTATTGAAAATCTTGATTTTGGTTTTGGTTGAAAGTTGTTTGGAGTTCCAGATATTTTTCAACTGTAGAAATTCAGCCCTTGCTTTGCCAATCCGTGCCCTCACATCTGCATCGGATCCACCTTGGTTGTCGATGATGCTGCCTAGATCTGTAAAGGTGTTAACGTCCTCCAAGGCATCTCCATCGAGAGTGATTTGATTGGTGCATGTTGTGTTGCATCGGAGAATTTTTCTTTTTAATAATAATATATTTATTCTCAAATAACTACGTTACAAGAGTCAAAGGCTAGATCAAATTGTCACAAATGCTTTCACAATTACTGTAAAGTTATAGCAGTTAAATTAAGTACAAGAGTCATTTTCTGATTGCATATTTACACCATGTCACTGACAGAAACAGTATTATACAGCCTCATTTTCAATAGTAGAGTACAAATAAGGAAAGAAGGTGCACAATAGGTTCTTTTGGCGATTTGCCGAGATGATTAGTGAATTTGTTCGGAAAGGTCATATGGAACGCGCTTGATACGAGCTGTGATCCAGACAGTCATGTGCATAGGGTGCATGTTCCCTAGATGCGCCAAGGATTTCCCACAGTGAATGGGGTTCTGAAAAGGAGAAGAGAGAGTGAAAAAGGCAGCAGTGTGGCAAGTGTATATATATATAACCAAAGCACTACTTAACCTGTCATGTTGAAGTAGTCAATACAGTAGTAAGTCAAGATAACATTCATACTGACCACTTAAATTAAAGTAAATTATGGGAATATAAGAATATAACACACAGATAAAGGAGTACAGCAAAAAGAAGGAAGAGTTGTGCAGTTTCAGGTGGATAGAAGAGAGGTCGAAGTAAGAAGCTGGATTTATGTACGTTGAAATCGAAATTCTAGTTGAAAGAGTAGAGTTTGTAAAAATAAAACTTTGATGAACATAATCTCGCACTGTCTAACTGTTTTTTTTATTATTATTATTGAATGCCAACCTCTAAGTCATACTGTAAGCGCCTGAGTAAGAATGTTGCGGGTGTCTCGACAGAATAGCGACCTCAGCATAGTTTTGGAAACATGAACCACAGAAGTAGCAGGCGTATAAGAGCAACCTCAGTGTTACTGATTAGTCGTCTCATCAATTAATTGCCGCTTGAATATTGTTAAGATCAAATTTGATGGTACAAAGATTATGCATACTGCTACAGTTAGTGTTAGTATCGGGGTTAGGAGATGTGTTCAGATTGAGGGAGAACCATGTACTAAACAGTTCGCAAATAACAGCTTCGTCATAATAAGTCTGTCCATCTTGTAGTATATGATGAATTTTGCGATCTGAGTCCTTTTTTATGCGTTTGTTAAGCAAACGACAGAGGTTTTGGGACTTACACACAGTAGCGAGAGCATTTTTTTCTTCGATTTGCCTACGCACTTCATGTTGATATTTTACACCTGGAAGTATAGCGTAAATTTGGTACAGGATGCTGAAGTCCTTAGATTTGCAATACGCCCGTTTTAGTTGACGTAGTTTAGCCCTAGCTTTGTAGGTGATATAAGGAGTAACTTTTTTGAATGACGTTTTGAGTGGGATAGTCGTGTCTAGAGCAGATTTGATGGTGACGTTGAATATATGTAGTGCATCAGGAAGTTCAAGACAAGAAAAAAACTCAGTCCAGTCGGAGTGATGAATTAGAAACCGAAAGCTGTCCCAGACAGTATGTTTATAGTCTCTGTATTGACAACGGTTTACTGTTCTAGATTTGTCACATTTAGCAAAAAACGGGAGGGTGCAGAGGACAATTTTATGGTCACCGTTGTGAAACGTTTCGCAGACAGACACAGATGTTGGCGTGACATCGTGACAAAATACCAAATCGAGAATGTTGTGGTTCCTAGTAGGCAGGTGCACATGTTGTTGCCAACCATGTGTGTCTGAGGGACCAAGTAAGCTATCAAATCGTAGTGGACCGGAATGTGTCCGCCAGTTGATTACAGGGAGGTTGAAGTCACCACAAATAATTTTGCAGGTGAATTTAAGACAGGCAGCCCTGGCAAACGACTAACTAATAGCAACGTCAACCGATCGACGAGTGTTTGGAGCTCGATATATGCATCCAACCAGTATTTTACATTCATGGGCGTGCACAGTCAGCCATATCGAATCAGGCACTTGAATTAGAACAGTATAATAATAATAATTTATTCTCAAATAACAAACATGTTACAAGAGACATGCCAATTTACAGGCAAGATCAAAATGTTAAGATTAGCAACATATTTTTTTCTGAAAACGGTATAATGTTACTGAAACATTTCATAAGATTCATTGTTTTCTTAAAGTTGGACTGTACAAAGCGATCAATTGGCGCAAGTTACGAAGG